TATATTTTTTGCTATTTTTGGGTGTAACTGGGACCTTGAGTACACAATTTCGTTCCACCTCGTGTGCCACGTAATGCAAATGACAATAAAGTCACCATGAACCTTGAAGTAGCATGCTTGGCCATCTTGCTAGAGATGAACCAAAATAACACTAGTACTAAAATCACAATGAAAATTTCATGAAGAAAAATTACTCTACCTTAGTTTTTCCAAATCGTAAAAAAGTTTTTTTATAATAATTATTATTATTTTTACTAAAGAGTCAATTTCACAAGCCTCTGAAAGGCAGGTGGGCAATGAAAAAGTGTGAAAACTTGCAGATCCTACTGCAGTTGCTGACCTTGCGTCTTGTTGCTCAGAAAACTGATGCAACATCTCCCTCTGTTGACTGATCCTGCAGGACTCACAACTGGGAGTAACTAAACTGTCAGCTGACCTGACCTGACCTGACCTGACCTCACATCGTCCCTGCAGCTGCTGATTCTGACAGAAACAAACACCCTCTGCCTTCAGAACAGCACATCAGCTCTTTGCTGTGAGAAAAAAGGGGAATTAGCCAGTTTCAGGGAGGCAGTTTGAGCAAATGACTGAAGAAGCAAATATCTGCACTATGTAATTATGACAGATTAAATGAAAGCATATTTCAAAGAGAATGAGCTGCAGCTCCTCAGTGGCTGTTTTGTTGTTTGAGCTGGTTGAAGTGAGGAGGGGGACGATCAACAGAGGCAACAACAATAATGTAGCTGTCGGGAGTATGAGGGCAGCAGGAGCAGGAAGGTGATGCAGTGAAAGACAATAAGTCACTCCCATAACCTCAGTGCTTTCCCTAATAAAAAGAAACTGCATTTTATGAAATATTATCATGAGTCTGATCCATCACTGGAGAATACTGATCAGGTTTTGAGTTTTATGACGGATTGAATCAATGTTTATCTGCTTCCATTCAGTGTTTTATGAAAACAGAACAAGTTAAGATAATTTTAAAAAGTAAAGCAACCAGCTGCAAAAGTTTCATCAGTTCAGAAAACAGCTTTGTTTGTTGGGTTCATGTATATTGAAAAGGTCACAATTTTATGAATATTTGAGAATAATTTTGATGCATCCATATTTATTTACGCTCAGATTTGTTGAGTCAAGTATGCAGATAAAAATGGTTTGTTTTCATTAAGTACATACTGGCATTTCATTTATATATCAGCAAATCAATTTCTGGAGCAAACTATTTCAAACTGTGCCATGTGATGTAGTTTAGGAGAACATTTTTATATTTCATTTCTGAATTTGAAATTAGTACCTTTAATTAGTCTACAATGAAAATCTGACTTACTTCCTTTTTTTAATTGGTAGAAAACAAGAAACTTCCCTTTAGTTATATATCTGGATGCACAATCTTTGTTTCTGAACTCAATAATGTAATTTTATGAAAAAACTTATTTATAAAATTGACATTTTGTGTTAGCTCAGCTATTTTCTTCACGTTTTTTGGCTTATCCAACTTGGAAGAAAGTGTTAAAATGATGAATCTGAACTTGGAGTTTTTACAGTGATGATTGAGGCCAACTTGCTTATCAAGTTTTCTTTTTTCTTCTATTTTCTTTGTTTGTTTGTTTGTTTGTTTGTTTTTTGCATTTTACCATTTTGCTTGTGTATTTCTTTTCTCAGCCTGTGTTGTGTTTTTCTTCAGAACTTCATTTCTCAGCTCCAGTTCTTGACCCTAAACCCCATGAAACCTCTCTTAACCAGCAATATGTAATACTCTCCATCAGTGAAGTTTCTGCCGGCCATGACTAAATTTCCTACACACTTCACCCTCTACACTTCATTTTGCCACATGAGCTATTTTTACCTGTTTCTATTGCTTGTTTCTGTTTTAGGATCTTATGTAACAATGCTGTTAAAATAATTTAGATGTGTAGGTGAAAATGTTTGAGATGTTCAAGATGAAGTCATCTGCGTGCAGATTGATATATTTAATTCTGAGAATACATACAATTTTATAACAAAAATAATAAGGATATAATGTATATTTGTCCATTCAGAAACAGGCACAAAAGGGGAAAGTTTGAAGAAGTTAAATGACTCTTTGATACTGGCAGAAATGAGGAAATACAGGCCTTGTGGTCAAATCTGTGCTTGTGTTTCCACTATGCTGCAAATAAAAGCACATGCATGTCATCAGACTAGCCTGTTCAGAAATGGCTCATTAATCATGGCCTCACAACACTAACACTGACTTCATCACATGAGATTCTATATAAAGAACTTTTGTTAGTGCTTTGCTCACTAGGGTCAGGTTTAAGCAGCTGCCATGTGTTTATAAAGAGGCGCTGGAATCAGAGCAGCAGTGATCCATCTCATTTTTCATCTCAAGCCTCTGGGGGACAATAGACCAATCAGACAAGATATCTGACAGATTTTCTCTGTTTCATTCCAGAGAAAAGGAAAGCTCACAATTTGTTTTGAGTTATTTGTCTCCTTTTTGATGAATGTTAACTCACCAGCACTCTGTGTGATTCTGACCCTGTTCTTTCCATTCTCAATTACACCGCTTGGGAGAAATTAATCATTTGGCTGTTGTTACAAGTTATATTATGTTTTTAAATCACCTTTAAGGCCATGGGCATTAATTAATCAGACAAGGATTTTTTTTTGTTTTTTGTCACAAGCTTATTTATTTTGCTTAAGCTCTTAATTTGAACAATTTCTTTTTATAATAAAAGTTTTGCAGACTAAAAGAGAACACAGTTTAGAAGAACAGCAAATTAAACCAAAATCAGAAATACTGATTACAATATTTGCCTTTTATGAATTATCAGATTCTGAGTTTCTTTATTGTCATTCGCACTTCATGTGGTTCATGTGGTGGAGCAAAATTATGTACACAGGGTCCCAGTTACATCCAACAATAAAATGTAAAATAAAAACAATGATAACATCTAAGATATGAACTAAGAAAAACATCAACTAAATATAAACTAAGCACTAATAGCATAAAAAATTATAAATTAAGATCATGGTTTTATAAGTTTGAATTGTGTTGAAATGCATCCAGTTGTAACTAATTTGTGAAATAAAAAAATAAAAATAAAAAACACACACACACATGGGCATGTTAAATAGTTACTTACTTACACCCTACTGAGAAACCACAATCCTTTCTGAAATATGAAAATTACAATAAAAGAATACAAGTTGTTTTTTAACAGGCTCCTGATTCACTGAAGGTTTATCATAAACTTATAAAGAAAATTGACTCTGTCATTATCTTTCATAATCTATATATAATCTATCTTTTTCTAATCTATCTCAATGGGATTACCCTGTATATATAAAGGTTGAACAAATTAATCTAATAGTCTTTTTATCTGTATTTTCTTTTTTTTAAAAACTGATAAAAACCTCCATCCATCCATCCATCCATTATCTTTTACCCGCTTTTTCCATTTTGGGTCACGGTGGTCGCCGGTGCCCGTGTCCAGCAATCACTGTGCGAGGGGCAGGGTACACCCTGGACAGGTCGCAAGTCCATCACAGGGACACATAGAGACAAACGAGACAAATAACCATTCACTCTCCCACTCTCACCTGGGGACAATTATAGAGTTGCCAATCAGCCTCACATGCATGTTTTTGGTCTGTGGGAGGAAACTGGAGTACCCGGAGAAATAATAAAAACCTTTTTAAGCTTATTATTATTATTATTATTATTATTATTATTATTATTATTATTATT